CAGATCTTTCTAAAAGTTAATAACCCTGCAATGTTTCATGAACTAAAAAATATTTCTGAGAAAATATCATTGCCTTGACACCGACCTTTAGATTTCTGTGTTCAATCATTTCTATCAAAAACATCAGATATTAGAGGTTCCGTTGAAAGCTTATTATTTTAAACAGCTTAGTCCACTGAACTGCTTCCTCAGGCTGGGCATGTGCAAGAAGTCATAGATGCACATTTACACACACTGTTGAAGGATCAGGAGAGTGGACTTATTGATATGTTTTGGTAGTTTTCTCTGAAACCAACATAAGGGGCTGATGTCCCTCAGATAGAGGGGAAAATAGAGAAATAAAGTCAGTAATAAGCTGTTTGAATGTTGGATTTTCCTGAAGCTGTTGAAGACTGCTTATCTGCAGCTTCCTAGAATCAGCTAATCAGGGTCTAATTTGGTTCCTGGCCTGGCCACCTTTAATATTTCAGGAGTGGCAGTTACCTGCCATACAACTACAAATCTCTTTATTCCTGATGACCTGCGCTGGCTGTGAGGTTTATTTCTCTTTGCAAATTGTAGAAAAACCACTGTATTTCCCTCAGCAGGTGGATGCGGCAGCATTAGACGTAGATGAGACTTTAAACCAGGAGTCTTGGACATTTTCTTTTGCTTTCTTCTCCTCTGTTTTATTTTTTTCCTTGTCTTTTTCCATCCTTACTCACTTTCCTTTTCATCACATTCCTCTTCCTTACACTCCTCCTCTTCTTTTTCCAACTATTCCTTATTAATCTTTTCCTTCCTGTTTTCCTTCCTTCATTTTTAACTCATTTTTTTCCTCTCTGTGCTTGCCTCTTCCTTTTCATCCTTGCACCTTAAAATGTTCAACCTTTTCATCCATCATTTCACTGTCCCTCCTTATTTCTTCCCTTCCCTATTAAGTCCTCACTTTAACCCTTCAAACTTGCTTTTCAGCAGTCCTTTTCCCTCCTGACCTTCTTTTCTGTCCTTACTCCTGCCCTGCTTCCATATAATCACTCCTGCTTATTTTGTTTCTTTACGTACTTTTACCCGTCTTTTATTCTTCTTTATGTACTTTCGCTATTCATCCCATTGCCTCCTTTTTTCCTCTAAATCCCTTTTTTCAATCAATTTCATAATCCTACATCACCTTGTTCTTGAGTGAACATTCAAAAACTTTGGTGTTTATGCTGCCTGCCTGCCCAGCAGGGTGACAACAATATTTCATCAGCCTTTTACAATGACGGGTAATAAAAACAATTTTAAAGCATATAAAATGGGAAGAATTTTCCTCCACTTGTCCTTTAAATCTATTAATATTTAGTTGAAATTTGCTCTTTATTAGATACCTGTGACCAAGATTAAATTGAGTTTAGACGTCAAATGAATTCGTAGAAAACTGGACCTGGATAAAAAACACAAATAAATGTTGTAATAAAGACAATAGAGAAAAGAAGTCTGATAGTTTATTTCAAGTTCTGCGAAATCTATCACAGGTGAAAGAGAACCAAACATGTAAATATATACAGTCATACACAGGGAAATAAAACAGAATATAAATACTGTGTAGCATGAAAGGAAACTAACCAACTAAAAAAACAAACTGGAGCCATGCACTGTAAGTCGTTCGAATGGGAAAAAAAAGAAGCTTGAAGCGTATTTACAGCATCATTAAAAGGTTTTCTTCTCGCCTTCAGAAGCAGTGAATCATAGTGTTAGTACAGGTTAGTATTGGACAGAACAACCAGGTGTATTGCAAGAAATCTTTCCTCAAAGGCACTCAATCAGGAAATCAAAATAATGTTCTCAAATCTTAATTTCAAGTTGACTACATTTAACGATTCCTGTGACACACTCATGCAGACGCAGTTTCAAGTTACACTGTAGATTGAAATAAAGGGAACTGAGTTTTAGTTGCCAAAACTGTAGCCTAAACTGCAGCAAGTTTAACACCAGATCAGCACCACTGGACTGGACACGCTGTGGAGGACTTCGACATTCAGTTCAGAGGGAAACGCTGATCAGATTCTCAAAGCTGAGAAGAGTGACAACGGCCACTGGTACAGTACATTTAACAGTCCAAGTAATGTGTCGGAAGAGATTCAGTAAGGCCTGGAAACATCCTTCACTTTTAAAGACATTCTGGGAAATGTTTGCTTTTTACTGAGAGTCAGACGTATATGCAGGAATGTGCAGAAATAAACACTGGGACCCTCGAGAGGGTGGGTATAGCATTTTGGAAGAACAGAAAGCATTTTTATTTCTACATGCATCCGACAACACACTACCTCTGAAGATGTAAACACAGATTCCATATTGGCTTCACTTTTCAGCCCCAGAGGTTGGAAGTAAAACTAATGCTGAAACTGAAAATCCTCTAATGTGTGCTAGAGGCAGTGTCCCCATAGACTACTGTGGTAAAATGTCCAAATTTATAGCTGAAGTAAACATCTTCACAGCTGCTACAAAAACAGTTTTGGTCAGAGCAAGAGCTGCAAAGTTTTGTAGGTATTGTAATTTCATAAAAACCAGACTGACAGACAAAGCTTGATTTCACTGAGAAATTCCACTAGTTTAAAGTAGAGACCATGCTACACTGGGACCACCTGTTTCACATGTATTAAGGCGTGGCCTATCTGCTTGATGGCCAGATGGTGTGTCACAGGCAGCTATAGGTTTTAGCTGTCTGGTAGACTTCACCTCAGCCTATTGGAGTTCCTAAACTGGACCTCTGGCTTGAGGTGATTAATATATTTGGATAATAAATAGAATCACATCATCAGCATGTAGTGGCAGTTTGTGCTCAGTCCCTTTTGGAGCATTTTAATGCAGTTATCTGACACATGATATGCATTGTGTTGCTGTGATTAGCTGTTCAAGAAGTTTTCGTTTTACGGAGTCAAATTCTAGGATTTTACTTGGATGTTCCTTAGCACTGTCTACTATTGTATGTTAGTTAGTGAAAATGTAGTTAAATTAAGCTAAATGCTTAGAAAAATCAGATAAAGTTCTGACATTCTTGTAAATATCTAAAATTAAGCTTGTAATGATGGATGATCTGTAATGTTCGGATCCCCACGCAAGCCATTTCTACACAAGGGAAAAGGGTCCAAATTTACAGAATGGAATCTCTGTAATCTCATCTGACTCTCAGCAAGAAAACAAATCACTTTGCTGGAAATGTTGGATTATTTCTCATCTTCTGCCCCCTCTGGAGTGTTTGTTTGGACTCAGTGTGCGTGATGGGCGGAGTTCAGCACCAGGAAAGTGCAATCAGTCAGTCGATCAATCACTATTAAAAATTTCAGTCGTTTTCCCATCGTCATCGCTTCACCTACACTTCCTGCTGAGATAAAGTACATACACCAGAGTGGTTAGGCGCGTTTGTTAGTATTATAATAAGCAGCAGAAGGTTTAATTATAGGTGCGCTTATTTGAAAATGACACTTTTTTACACTGACCGGCGGAGCGTCTCAAAGGAGGACCTAAATGGGAATCTACAGTGTTTCCACAAGGAAATCCCAGCTGGATTTCTTGAAGTTTATTGCTAATGTCCACTCTGTTTCTTTTTTTATCACTGGCACTTCACCATTCAGCAGTTCAGCATTGTCGCGCTCATGTAGTAGCATCTAATGATTCAGATCGTCAATCTTTCCCACAGGTTTGTCATTCACATTTTAAAGGTCAAAAAAGTGACTTACATTCGATTTGGGAGCCGCTGATGCAGAGAGCACGGCCGCTAATACTATTTCTGAGATATTTAGGCCTTTATTTTGACCTTCAGCTTGAGCTTTAATATATATATTACAGTATTTTGGAATGAAAGTCCCCTAATCACAGTAGTCTAAACTTGACAGCAGTCATCAAAACTAATCAACTCCCAGTTTAACCCAAGCTGGGCCGTTCAATTCACAGGAGAGAGCAACACTGTCATTACAGTGGTTTTAATTAGGAGCTGATTGACCTTTTAGTTTTTGACAGCCACTAAAAACCCACCATAGCTGAAAAAAAAATT